TGATTTTTGTGTTTCTCTAGAGAACCCAATCCAACACAGATGGCGTAACAACTGAGAGTGTTTCATTGCATTTTATATGGGTTGCCATGGGTCAGGGCTGACTTGCCAGAAGATGACAGCAACAGTTGCTGAATTGCATCTGACTAGGCCACTCCTCGGAAGGAAGATGGGGCAATCTACTTCTGTAGTGATACTGCCTTCGAAACCCAAGGAGGGGTCACTGTGAGTCAGGTCCGACTCGACGGCACATAACAACAACAGCAACAGGAGATCTACCTGGCTGGAAGCCACAGCTGTGCATTTTCCTAAGTTCAGTGCAACTAACTTGTGACCAGACATCCCATTGCTGGGACCCAAGAGGCTCGCCCATGGGACTGTTTCAGGAGCTCTCCATTCATATATGGAAAGGGCTTTGTAGGGCAGGGTGGCTTCTGCCCCCATCTGTATGGTCTAGTTCTGTCACATCTGACCTGCTACTTGGGGGGCCAGTGACTAAACTAAGGACAGTTGTGAGAATGTCTCCAGCTGACAACACATGTCTGACACAGCCTTGTTGGCAGGCTGTTTCCTGTCCTGTGTGGTTCTCAATGAAACCAATGTGAAGTGAGTCATTGAAGGGAGATTAATTTAACTGACCAGTGGAGCTTAAGATCACCAAGAGTGGACATTGAGAATCTGGTGAAAGCCATAGACCACACCTGTTTGTTCATTTTTGTATCCTTACAGAGTAGATTGGAGTCTCGTGCATAGGGGTATATGGTGAATATCTGTTAAGAAACTGAATGGGCATTCTCTCAAGAAAAAAAGCCATGTATGTTTATGTAAGAATAACAATTTCAAGACTTTACCAGCTGTTCTTTGCTCTTTTAGGAGTAAAGTCCTTGAACTTCAAACCAACCAACCAACCCAATCTTAGTTCCTAGCATGGTGATGTAGCATGGGGTGGATATTGTGAAGCAAATTCCTTAGCTTTTATTTGAATTTCACCACTTTAGAATGTGCCTAATTTCTCTCAGATCCAGGATGTTGGAATAATTTGCATAATAAGTACCATTTTAAGAAGAAATGCGAAGCAACTGTGATGGAATCATGTGGGTGTGAGTATGTTTTCTAGGAACTAGTAAGAGTTGCTCTGAGGCTATTTAGGATTGGGGAAGTGGAAAAGAGGAGCCCCAGTGGCACCGTGGTTACGCACTAGGCTGCTAATCAAAGGGTCAGTGGTTCAAACCCCCCAGCCACCACTCAGTATAAAGGCCTGATCATCTACTTCCATAAATATTACAGCCTAGGAAGTCCTATGGGGCAGTTGTACTCTGTTCTCCAGGGGCACTGTGAGTTGGAATTGACTGAAGGGCAGTGGGTTTGGTTTGGGCTTTGCCTCTGTGAAGATTGACAGCCTTGGAAACCCTGTGGGGGCAGTTCTGCTATGTCCTGTAGAGTTTGTATGAGTCAGAATCAACTTGACAGTAGCAGATTAAATGGAAAACAAAAAGTCTCTGAGTGGCACAGATGGTTTGCAGTCAACTTCTAACATACCATTTGGTGGTTTGAACCCAGCCAGCAGCACCATGGAATAAGGGCCTGGTGATCTGCTTCTGTATAGCTCTACTGCCCAGAAAACTCCATGGAGTGGTTGTATTCTGTAACAGATGTGGTCACCATGAGTATGCAACTTTTTTTTTTTTTAATGTAGATAAGATGTGCTCATTCAGTAACGTGACACACTTCTGTTAGTTATTTGGCCAAAAAAAAAAAATGTATTCCACTTTCCATATGTTGGGAGTTTCTTGACTCCTTTCTCCATCAACATGTGCACTACAGTCCTTTTCGTTTGTGGATGTGGATGTGTGTGCTATTGTGCAGAATTCAGTCCGATCACCTCTGAAGACATCAAATGTTGAGAAGGTGACCAATGTGCAGATCCTGGTGCTGTTTGTCCTGCTCTTGGTCATGTCCTTCATGAGCTGCGTGGGAGCTGTGTTCTGGAATGACTCATTTGATGACAAAATCTGGTACTTCAAGAAGAAGGGTAAGTGTCCTGGGGTTAGCAAGAAACTGCCATTTTGGCAAGTTGGCATGCTTTGGAAGGTGACTCAAAATTTGTTTATGTTTTTATTTAAAAGGGAAGGCACTTGTGCTGTTTTTTGTTGTTACTCTTTTTTTTTTTTTTTGTCTTTAGAGAATATGAAGATCAATGAAATGTTCCCTTCTTGAGATTTTTAGTTTTATTGTTTCTTAAGTTTTTATTGTACGTTGAGTGAAATTTTACAAAGCAGATTTGTTTTACATTCAACAGTTCATACACATTTTGTTTTGTGACACTGGTTACATTCCCCGCAGTGTAACATCTCACCTCCCCCTTCCTCCCTGTGTTAGTTACCCTTTCCCTGTGTCCTTCTTGCATATGCGTTCCTGCCTCCCCACCTTTCTCCCCTTGCAAATGCTGCCCTTCTGATCTGCCATGGTTGATTGTTCTAAGGAATGCATCTCCCTGGTGTAGGTGTTCAGCTCATAGGCCTGTCTTTTGCTTGGCTGAGAGTTAAGCCTCAGGCATGAGTTCAATTCCAGGCCTGAAGGGTGACCAGGGCCATACCCTCAAGGTTTCACAAGTTTCTGTCAGACCAGCAAGGCTGTTTTTTTTTTTTTCCCTCATGGTTTTGAGTTTTTTCCACATTCTCCCACACTGTCCAGGATCTCTAATTGTGGTCCCTTTCTCAGTGGTTGACATTGGTAGCTGGGCACCATCTAGTTCTTTTGGTCTCGGCGTCATAGAGCATGAGGTTCTCATGGTCCATTAGTCTTTTAGACAACTGTTGCCATGTATCTTTGCATTTCTTCACTCTTCTTTGCTACAGACAAGTAGAGACCAATAGTTGCAACTTAGATGGCTACTCATGAGCTTTTAAGATCTCAGTCTCTACTCACTGAAGTAAGATGTAGAACATTATTTTTGTATGCCATGTTGTGCTAATTGAGTTTGATGTCCCCTGCAACCATGATCCCCAGCTTGCAGGCCCAGTGACCCCCTCCCTCAAGGTGCTTATTTGTGGCTAAGAAGTTAAACTAATTTTGCCTCCTGTTGTGTTTAAACTGCATATGAACATTTTTATAGCATATAAAAATACTTTTATAGGAATATTGCCGGCCAAACCTATCTATGGTCATGGGTATATTCCCATTTGCCTAGCCATACCTGTCTACTTGTGTATCGGCCCATAGATTGTTGTTGTTGCTGTTAGGTGTTGTCAAGTCGTCTCCGACTCATAGCGACCCTGTGTACAACAGAAGGAAACACTGCCCAGCCCTGGCCAGCCTTATGATCTTTGCTATAACTGAGACCATGTTGCAGCCGCTGTGTTAGTACATCCCATTGAGGGCCTTCCCCTTTCTCAATGACCCGCCACTTTACCAAGCATGATATCCTTCTCTAGGGAATGGTCCCTTCTGACAACATGACCAAAGTAGGTGAAGTCTGGCCATTCTCGCTTCGAAGGAGCATTCCAGCTTCATTGCCTCCAGGACAGATTTGTAGGTTCTTTTAGCAGTCCATGATACTTTCAGCATTCTCCTCCAACACTACAACTCAAAAGCATCAGCTCTTCTTTGGTCTTCCTTATTCATTGTCCAGCTCTCACATGCATATGAGGCAATTGAAAATACCATGCCTTGAGTTGTTGTTGTTGTTGTTATTGTTATGTGCCATGGAGTCAGATCTGACTCATAGAAACCCCTCCTTGGGTTTCCGAGGTGGTATCACTACAGAAATAGATTGCCCAACCCTCCTTCTGAGAGTGGCTGGTGGGTTTGAACTGCCAGCCTTCTGGTTAGCAGTCAAGTGCCTTAGGTACTACGCTACCAGAGCTCCTATAGGCACACATTAATCTTCAAGGAGATATCTTGCTCTTCAGCACTTGAAAGAAGTCTTTTCCAACAGATTTGCCCAGTGCAATATAACGTCTGATTTCTTGACTGCTGCTTCCATTGGTGTTGATTGTAGAACCAATAGGAAGTCTTCAACAACTTCAATCTTTTCTCCATTTATCATCATGCTGCTTATTGGTCCAGTTGTGAGGATTTTTGTTTTCTTTATATTGAGGTGTAATTCGTACTGCAGACTGTAGTCTTCAGTCTTCATCAGTAAGTGTTTCAAGTCATCCTCAATTTCAGCAAGCAAAATTGTGTCATCTGCATATCACGGGTTGTTAATGATTCTTCCTCCAATCCTGATGCCACATTCTTCTTCATATAGTCCAGCTTCTCAGATTACTTGCTCAACATACAGATTGAAAGAGTATGGTGAAAGGATATAGCCCTGATGCACACCTTTCCTGATTTTAAACCGTGCAGTATCCCCTTGTTCTGTTTGAATGACAGCCTCCTGGTCTATGTACAGGTTCCCCATGAGCACAATAAAATATTCTGGAATTTCCATTCTTCTCAATGTTATCCATAATTTTTTATGATGTACACAATCGAAACTTTCGCGTAGTCAGTAAAACATAAGTAAACATCTTTCTGGTATTCTTTGCTTTGAGCCAAGATCCATCTGACATCAGCAATGATATCCCTTGTTCCATGTCCTCTTCTGAATTCAG